TGTTGAAGAAATTCCCCTCTAATCCTATTTTGTTGAGTGCTTTAATCATGAAAGGGTGTTGGGTTTTATCAAAGGCTTTTTCTGCATCAATTGATAGGACCATATGGTTCTTGTTCTTTGCCTTGTTGATGTGATCATATTACCCCTGAAAGTAATTATTATAATTTTTAATTTTGTTATTTCTAGCTTACCCACTATCATTTACATCCTTCCAATCTGTCCTATATGAAACCTGTTTGCTCTAACCCAACAATGAAAAATAAAATCATTACTGTACCATTTTCACAGTCATTATAGCCAAAAAATCATCAAAAGCAATGGTGCCAATTCCCTTTTTATCAATTTCAGCTATCATTTTTTTAATTTCATCTTTCTTCGGTTCAAATCCCAAGGCTCTCATTGCAATCTAGAATAAGAAACAAATAATTCATAACAAGTCAAGATTCCATTTCTACTTTCTTATCTTTTAATTACTATCTTCATTTTGTTGTTGTTGTTGTTGTTCTTTTACCATAGACTAGGCACAAGAAATGGGTCTTCAGACTTAGATTATAGTCTCAAGGCAACATAGGAGAAGCAGCAGTGGAGGTACAGTGGTTAAATGCACAGTCGCTAAACAAAAGGTCAATGGTTTGAACCCATCAGCTGCTCTGTAGAAGAAAGATGTTGCAATTTGATTCCATAAAGATTATAGCCTTAGAAACTCTAAAGGTTGTTCCTATTCTGTCCCTATGTGATCATTATGAGTGGAAATCAACTGAAACATAGTATATTTGGTTTGCTTTGCTTTGGTCCTACAAAGTGTATTCACCATAACACTAAGGGCTTCAGCTGATTTGGACAAGTTTTCTTCATTAATGAAACAAGATAAAAATGCTTAATCACTTCTAGGGCAGGTGCACAAAGTGAAGAGATTTTATATCAAGCTTTCAGAAAATTAGTGTTAATTAAGAATTTAAAGATTGCCACAAATAAACAAATGGTTTACTTAAACATTTTAGAATTAGCAATCATTTCTGAACCTTCAATTCTTTCACATCTATGGTTCCAGATCCATCAACATCAAATAAATCAAAGGCCTCTTTAATGTCCTGTTTTTGGGTTTCATTCAATTTAATTCTTGCTGCTCTTTTCTTCCATTGGTCTGGACATCGGTGACTGCTGGATGCCTGTAATAAAAATAAACTATATAACAAAAAATGTTAACAGAATTAGTCTAATCTATTTTGAGCCAATTAAATCTAATAAACAAACATGTTCAAGTCTTCTTAGTATTAGTAAACTTCAATAAATTTTCTTCTTCCTCTTGCCAACATTTGTGTTTTTTCTTCAATAGCTAGTTATTAATTTAATAAAGGAAATAGTTTCTTATTAATAGTCATTAGTTTCATTAATAAATTAAACTAGTTATTTTACTAGCAAGCCTAGTTCTGTTTTTCCACTTAAGTCTTTTCCTTTAAATTAATGCCTGTTGAGGGGAGAAAAGAAACAAAGTAAGGTATATTAGAAAAACTGAAGTGTTATGTTGGTACACAACTTGGTACTTGGTAAATATGCACAATATTAATTTAGAGCACACAAGCCTTTAAGGCTTATAATAAAACGTTCTCATTTTGTATGTTATGTAAGACTGAACATGTCTTTCCCACCTTCTTCTAACATGCATTCCTATATTTCAGAAGATGAAAGTGAAAAACTACAATTTTTCAGGCAACAAATGACTCACATATCTAGACAGAAAATAGAGGTTGGGTTGATTATCTGCAGTCACCTTATATTTGGAATAAAGAAGTCATCCTCCTGCTGGTATTTGCTACTTCTGCTGACAAACAAGGTCATGGAGTTGGGATGGGGTTCCGCATCTCTGTGTCAGTAACTGTTTCCAGCTTTGTGCTTAGCAGTGTGGCAAAGGAGTAACTGGACTCCATGCTTCTGTGTGTCTACTGTCAGCTTCATGTTAAGAATTTATGTGGCAGCTATGGATTCTTTTTTTTCTACACTTATGAAAGGTGCACTGTAGTAAAATATATGTAACAAAAACGTTACCATTTTAATCACCGTTAAGTATATAATTCAGTGGCACCAATTACATTCCCCACTATTTATCTCTAGTTACTCTTTCTACTTACATCACACTATTAACTCAGTACCCCCTAGTAACTAATTTTCACCTTCCTCCATTAATAAATACTGGCCTCTCTACACTTGCCTATTGTTATGTACTGTTGAATCAGAATTGACTTAGAGCTGACCCTCTAGAGGATTTCCAATGGCAGTAAATCACACAGGAGGAGAATGCTCCTCTTTTTTTCCATGAAGCACCTGGTGGATTAGAACTGTATGCCCTTGGATTAGCAGCATACCCTCTCATCACTAGACCACCAGAACTCCCTAGCATAGATAACTCATATAGGTAGAGTCATACATTTATCCCTTTTAACTGACTTACTTCACTCAGCATGTTTTCAAAGTTCATTCATGTTACATTATGTATGATCATGTTGCATCAGAATTTCATTTCTTTTTATGTATAATATCTTGTGTGTAAGTACAACATTTTATTTAACTCATTTTTCAGTCTATCAGCTTTTAAGCACTGAACTCTGAATTCAATCCTATTCTGGCTAAAAAAGCAGATTCTGCTTCCATCATCGAGTCTCACTGATATGTAGCACATAGTTGAATAATCTCATTTCTTCCTATTATGAGCACCCTTACATGTCTGCTACATTTTTAGTTTGATTTTTTTTATTATTACTAATTTAAATAAAAATTTACAGATACTCTGGATTTCCATTCATTCATTGTTGCACTTTTCTCCCTGCCCACTCCTCTCCACCCCCAGTTCACTCTTCTCTTTGAAAAGTAAAAGAAAAATTCTTTCATTGTTATACAATCCTTCCCCCCAGGTCTACTCCACTATTCAGCCTTCTTCTGAACCCCTGTCATGACAATAAAACCTAATTACATATCCCTTTTAAACAGTTTCTCCCTTGTTTTCAATGCAGCATACATTATCCCTTCTTTGTCAGTCTCCCTCCAACCCCGATGTCAGTGCCGCTTTACAACAGTGGCACTATGCAGTTTTTGTCCTTTTGTAACTAAGATATTTCACTCAGCATAATGTTGTCTGCATACTTTTTCCCTCTATTTATTATGATATTGCTTATTGGTCCACTGGTAAGGATGCTTGCTTTCTTGGTAGTAAAATATAATCTATAAGTCTGTATACTTTTGTTGAAGTACTATTAGCACAAGCATCCACACTTTAAAAAAGAAGTCTGAGGGTCATTCTTAACACTTTCCTTTTCCTCAATTTTTCCACCAGTTTACTGTAGATCTACCTCTTAAAGAAGTTTTGAATCTGACCTCTCCAAATCATCTTTATTTAAATTGCCGTAATTCATTTCCTACCTGAATAGGGCTACGACTTTACAGCACTTAACAGTAACAAAAACGAGAGAGCTCTGTTAGCCTAGTGGATAGAAGGTGATGCTACCAAACCAAAGGTGGGTGATTTTGATCTGCAGCCTCAGGCCTGGTTTTAACCACTTTTGGTCAAACATTCTTCTAGGTGGTATAGCACTGGTCTGTCCATTTGCTGTACAAAGGTAACTTGTCGATGCTGCGAAGGCTAAACACTGTGACACTGATGTATCAAATGCAATAATAGTTACCCATGGTGGACAATGTTTGGTGGAACTCCTAGATTAAAACAAGCTTGAAACCAGGAGTGGTATCCACTTCCAAAATAGCCTCCAGAAACTCTGAACTTGGAGAAATAATGCAAGTTATACAAGTGTTCAGGTCTTTCATTCACAGAGTCGCTGAGTTATCTACGAGTCGGTGGCACTTAACAACATCAACAAACATGGACAGTTATATTTTTTCCTAACTAGCCTGACTCCATTCTTCAGACTCTCAGTTTATTCTAAACATTGGTGCGTTCCTAAAAAGCAATTCAGTGCATGTTAATCTCTAAAATAAATTATTCAGTGGTTCTCAACTACTAAATCGGCAATCTTTTGGATCCTTTGTGCTCTGTGCCAAAAAAACAAACAAATAAAAAACCCTAAAAACCTCTCTCCTCTATTTTTTTCTAGACAAGAAGTTCATATACCATCTTTTATGGAAAGCTCTCTCTCTCTCTCCCCCTCTTCTTCATGTTGTTTTAGATTAGGGTTCCCTTCCATGTGCTCCTACACTCTGCCAGTCTCATGGATCACTCTTTATTCTGTATTGTCATAGTCTATATTTAACTCTTTTCTCCCTGCTAGAATCTGAAACCCTAGTAAATGGACAGATAAGGACCTCAGTAATGTTTGCTGAACAATAATGTTAAAAGCCTATTTTCAGATGAAGGGAGACGTGTTTAATCTATTAAGATTCCACCAGATTAACTTTATTTTACTTTCAAATAACTGTAGCTAAATCTCACTCTGACTACCTCTACTTTTTTTAAATTTTTTTATTTTTTTTTTATTTCAATTAACATCTACAGAGATGAATCGAGTATTTTGGAGAGGTCCCCAACCGCAGACTTCCCCATCGTAATACGTTTTTTGATTTCCTGGCTACTGGTGCCAAGATCTTCAAAATAATGGGGACAATAAGGGGGAAATTGACGTTACCTGCAAAGCGCTCCTCTTTGTCAACATACAGAGAGTTTACACGGGCGGATCATGAAAAGAGGACCAATTCAATAAACTAAACAAAATCCTTTCCTTGCTCTGGGAAGAAATTTCATCCCCACCAGGGGGTTAAAGCTTAGCACTCACCATGATCCTCACCAACGCCCCCACCAGGAACCGGTGCGGCTCAACAACTCGCGGCTCGGCGCAACCAAAATGTTTCACAGTTGCTAAGCCGTTGCTAAAGCAACTCTCACCCTTTCTTACGTAGCCACGCCCACTCCTACTGATTGACAACCACGCTATCAAATAGCCAAAAGGATAAACATCCCTTGAGCCCACCCCCTTTGTCTACTCTCTACCAATAGCTTGACGATCCCGCCTTTCTCAAGCGGAACTTTGCTCTTTGGTTTCTTAGCGACCAGGCCCACCTCACTCTGTTGGTTTGCTCGCTTTGCGGGTGAAGGGTGCTTTGTCTCTGCATTTGAGGTCCTCTGCTAGAACCAAGTCAACTAACTGAGTGGATGGAGAAAGAAGCAAGGTTAGTAGCAAGGTGCTTCCACTTCCACCGACTGATAAGATTTGATGAAAACAAGAAAGGAGGAGCTTCCCTTTTTGGTCTTCCTGACCTCTTGGGACCCGCGAGATTAGATTACAGTCTCGAGAATTTTAGGTTAAATTTACCCAGCCTTGTTTTGTCATCCTTATTAGACCCTGAAGGAATTACCCTGTTTTTGCATTTTTCAACTCAGAACTCATTACTGCTGGGGCTGCGGGAAGAGGGGAGGGAGACTGGAGGGCTTGGTGGGGGGTTTTTTTCGCCTGCAAAGTTCACTTCTGCCTCCTTATCGCTATTGTTTAGGTGCCATTGAGTCGAGTAGGATTCATAGCGACCCTGTGAATAACAGATCTGAATTTTACATATCCTGTGCCGGCCTCACCATCTCTGACACACTTGAACCCATTACTGCAGTAACCATGTTAGTCCGTCTCGCTATGACTAACCCTCTTTTTCGCTGACCCTCCACCTTTCCAAGCGTGATACTCCTTTCCAAGGAATAGCGTCTCCCTAGCAACATGCCTTCATCATTAGGCCTTCATCGTTAGGCCTTCCTTAATCTCCAAGGTGCCTGGAAGCTTGATCTTTTGCCTTTCCTCCCTGTTTGGGCATGTACTCTAGTTCTAGCAGGTTCAGTTGACCAGTTACTATCTACTGGATCCAGAGTCAGGGCGCCTGCACCCTCCAGAGTAGAACTGACCTCCATAGGATTCTCGCCTGGCTGCTCTTGAACCTCTAGCTGTTAGTTTGGCAGCTGAGTGAACGTGTAACCATTTGTACCACTAAGGAATTCTCTAAGAGCCCTGGTGTTAGTGTTCCACTGGCCAGAGTTCAGAGATTGGGAGCCAGCAGCCCATCCTGTAAGATCAGAGACATGGCAGTAGGCTTCTACCTATGAAGCAGAGCTGGATAGGAGACCACACAGAAACAACAAAGCAGACTAGGCTCCAAGATTTCTGTTTAGGAAGGGCATGAGATAGACAATGAGTTGAAAGGTAGTGAGTATGGGGATGATTTTGACTTGTGTTTTTATTTGTTGCAAAATCCCCTGCAAGAGTTCGGGCTGGTTGTTAATTTACATCAAATGTAGATCTTCACTGTTGAGACCACAGGTACTCCTAGTAAGAATGAAGAGGTAATATTGTATATTATCAAGGCTGTGGTGGCTTAGTAGTGAGGAATTGCACTGTAAATCCCAAAGGCATGTGGTTTGAATCCACAAGCTGCTCTATTGGAGTAAATTTTGCAGTCTCCTCCTGTGCAATTTATAGCCTCAGAAAACCCACTAGAGGTCAGCTTTGACTTGATTCTGACATGAGGGCACACAACAACAACAGGATACAATAGTATCCCAACTGTGGAGAGCTCTGAAAGCCTGGTTGTACGGAGCTGCACTACCAACTCAAAGGTACACTGTTCAAAACCATCAGGTGCTGTACCGGAGAAAGATGGCCAGTCTCCTCTGGTATGATTTACATACTCTTTCACTTGAAGGCACACAACAACTAGAGACTTTGTGAGTAAGTGATTGGCACTATCAATTCAAAGCCAGGATGTTTGAGTTTATCTCAGGATAAAGAGGAGTAGTCACCTTCAGTGTGATTTACAGTCTCTGAAAACCCATTGAAGGATTAGCTATGAGTTGGTTCTAATTTGACTGCACATAACAATATCTTAATCATAGAAGTAATTTGCTGCATGTTGTTTTTGTTATGTGATGTCAAGTTGCCTGTGACTCATAGCAATCCTATGTATAATAGTTCTGAACCCTGCCCTATACAGAGCCAGTCTGACTTTCTCCGACATACCTACCCCATTATCTCAGCACTGTATCAGGCTGTCTCATCTAGGATCTTCCTCTCTTACACTGTCCCTTCACCCTTCCAAGCATGATGTCCTCTCCAAAATCTGTCCCCTTCTGGCAGTATGCCCAAAGTAGGTGAAACAGAATCTCAAAATCCTTGCCTCCAAGAAGCAGCTAGCTTGATTTCACCCTCTCCAGGACAAACTTCTATGTTCTTTTGGCAAGTCATGGTATATTCAATATATTTTTCCAGCACCACTGCTCAAAGGCATCAATTCTTCTGTCATCTTTATTCATTGTCCAACTTTCTGATTTATATCAAGTTACTTTGGACATGTAGTGAGGAGAGACTGGTCCTTAGAGAGGGACATCATGCTTGGGAGGGTGGAGGGACAGCGTAGGAGAGGAAGGCCCTCTATGAGGTGGATTGATTCAGTGACTGGGATAATTGGGATGGGAGTGTCAGA